ACGTTTTTTATATTTAAAGAATTTGCCACTGACGATTCAAACGCGAGTTTTGAGCAGTGTAGAGTAGCACTTGTTGTTTGTCGTTTCTCCGATCACAAATGCAGACATGGTTTTATGTTTACGCGGCGCGATACGCAACACAACGAGTAAAAAGACAGTATAAGTCAGCGGTCACCAACGTGGTGCCCGTGGGCTGCTCTGAGAGTCACATCACCAGCTTTATGCAGTTTCATTTGAGAAAAAATACAGTCAAAATATTTTTAAGGAATATCATACAACAAAGTTTTTTTTATTATTAATTTATACAGTTCTGTTGTGCAGCATCATGTCTGATAAAATAAAATAAAAAAATAAAATAAAATAAATAAAAATACAATGTTTTGTTGTAAATTGATTTCCGTTCGAAAGGGAACTCTACGCTGCTCCTCTAGAGGGTGCTAGGGGAACGCCTTCGGCATGACCGGTGTCTGAAGCATGAGTCTAAACACGACAATGAACTTGACATTGGCAGGCGGCAGCCCATGACGTCATAACTGGTGCGGCCGAAAGTATAACAGGGTACCTGTGAATTACTTCATCCTCTTTCTTGTCTTCAGGAGATGTCTGTTTGTTCATGAGTTAGGAGCAAGCACGTTTTAGCTCCTGAGGGAGCAGAATGCATGCATTGAAAGGGAAATTTTCTCAATGAAGCTCCGTTTGTGATGTCCCTATTCTGGAGGGATGTGGGACGCGCTTTTGGGTGGAATGTTTAGAGCGAATTTTTCGCGATGCGTTCATCGGCATGACCGGTGTCTGAAGCATGAGTCTAAACACGACAATGAACTTGACATTGGCAGGCGGCAGCCCATGACGTCATAACTGGTGCGGCCGAAAGTATAAAAGGGCACCTGTGAATTACGTCATCCTCTTTCTTGTCTTCAGGACAAGAAATTCGTCTGTTTCTTCATGAGTTAGGAGCAAGCGTGTTTTAGCTCCTGAGGGAGCAGAATGCACGCATTGAAAGGGACATTTTCTCAATGAAGCTCCGTTTGCTAT